CAAAAAACATGATTTTTATTGTGGAAAATCAGATACTGCAAATCAGTGCAAAACCAAAACTGCGAGGGTCTGGAAAAACCAAAACTGGGAGGGTGTAGAAAAACAGATATTGCAAGTGGAGGAAAACCATAACTGGCTACGTGTGGAAAATCTATAACGCGGGAAGTTGAAAAACCCGTGGATTTTGTCCTGCATTCTTCTGCCAGAGATCCAGATAGAAACCTAATTTCCCCCTTACTTTTTGTGTCACCCCCGTGTATTTTGAAACCAGAGATGGAAGAAATGTAAGGGGTGAATGAGGTTTAGTCCCTTCCGCTTCTATGGAGAAACCTCTTGAAAATATGTTATTTTCCAGAGGAATTTTCCCGGTGGGTCCTTCTAGCTGTTACATACTTTTGCACGAATACAATATACCCTTTTACTCTACGAGTAACGGGTATAAATACTTAAAAAAAGGTTGCATTCAGTCGGAGTTGATCTCGGTCCGACACGATCCGCAGTCGAGCGACTACACCCCTAGCCCACAGTGCCTTGTTTCGAGACGTCAGACAGATGCGACATTGAGCCTATTTCGCAGTAGAGCAAACGAAATTGCACACTAACACAACCAAAGAATCTAACACGGACAACGCACACTAAGAAATTATAAATCCACTTTCTGAATCCACACCAAAAATTTTGCCGTACATTCAGTTGTATGGGCGTTACACCTCTTAGTGTTTATATTCTCTTTGGTGATACGACACTGTGGTGCATTTTGCCACCTAGTGTTGTCTAGTTTGATGAAGTGGTTTTTGATACACTCTCCTTTTCTGGAAGGAGAGGCTTGGTGGTGCCTTGCCTGGCTAACTCGTCCGCTATGCAGTTGCTTACAATGTCCCGGTGACCCGGAACCCATATTAGGCTTATACTAGACTGACTAGCTCGTGGCGAGATATGCGACAGTCTGCTATTGTTCGAGAGTTGTGCTTGTCGAATAGATTGATTTAATAGCCGCCTGGCTATCACTATATATGTTTATGTGTCTGAAAGACTGCCTGATCTCTAATTCTTCGGAGTATAGCCGTAGTTTGGAGCCGTCTGTATACAAACAGATTGCGTCTATTGAGCCCGGTCGGCCACAATCCCATTCTTTCCTACCTGGGATCAGAGCATTGTTTTTGTAGAGCGGTCCACCATAGAGCCACCCCGTATAGAAGGATTGGTTTGACCACCGCTGTGTAGATCCAGTTGACAATTCTAGGGGACATGTCCCACCTTAGCCCAATTGCCTTTTTACAAGAGTAAAGTGCAATGGTTGCTTTTTTGATTCTCTCTTGGTTGTTTAGGCCCCAGTTGAGACGCTTTTCTAATACCAACCCCAGGTATCTGGCGTGTTCGCTAAAAGAGAGATTACAATTGTTTAGTATGGGTGGGTTGAGTGGAGGGATCTTGTACTTATTCGTAAATAGAACAAGTACGTTGTTGAAAGCTCCCTCTATATCTAGGAAGGCGGTCAGTATGTATTCCTTATTATTGAGTGATTTCTCAATGCTGTTTACCACGACGTGCAGCGCCGATTCGGTTGACTTACCTTTGGTGTAGCCATGTTGTGCCTCTGACATTTGTGTCGGGTCGATAGTGGCTCTCAGGTGTAGGCTAATCAGTCTTTCAAAGCTCTTTAGCAGGAATGATGTCAGGCTTATTGGCCTGAAGTCCTTTGCTGTGGTGTAGGTGGCCTTCCCTGCCTTGGTAGTTCTCCTACTGCCAGAATGGTGTGGAAGATTTTACTGAGCCAATTTATGGCCACCTGTCCTGCTTGTTGGATATGTGCCGGTGTTATCCCGTCCGGTCCCGCGAATTGGATGGTTTGAAGCTCTGAATGGCCTATTTAATATTGCGGTCTGATATGAGGAGATCTAGATTGATCCCTTCGCCGGCAATTCTTTCTGGGAGTTGGCCTATATGTTGGCTACCTGGGAAGTGAGCATCTAGATGTAGGTCTAAGGACTCTTCGATAGAGTCTGACCAGGATCCATTTGCTTTCTGGAGATAGCCTAGGGGCGCGTAGAGAGTAGCATCAGTCGTTTTTTCTATGTCAGAGCAGAACGTTTGCCATGCAATTCGTTTTGCTGTTCTAATGGCCTTTTTGTACGAGGCTAATTCGAGCTTGTAATACTGCCAGTTTGCGGCCTCATTTCTTGCATTTACTCTGTTAAACAGGCATCTGCAGTTTGATCTGAGGATTGATAGTTGTTGGGTCTACCAGGTGGGTTTTTTCTTCCCTCTTGGTCTCCCTATGGGGCATGCGTCTTTGAAGGCCGAGTTGCACGCTTCTGTAAAAATATCTACTGTTGTATCTAGCCCTTGTGGGCCTGTAATGCTTTCTGGCGGTACCATGGGAGGATATTCGTCAGAACTTCTTTGTACATGTGCCAGTCGGCCTGTCTGGGATTAGCAAAGCCGACCGGCATGGGTGAATCAAGGGACAATATTATTTATATGTATCTATGGTCAGAGAAGTAGTGTTCGTCGGAGACGAACCAGTTTGGGACTGCACTTACCAGTATATCTGATACCAACGTTAGATCTATGATCGTTTGGCATGCTTTGCTTATGAAGGTGGGGACATTTCCCCTATTACATAAGAATAAATTCGAGTTAAGAATAAAGTCAAAGAGAGACTCACCTCTGTCGTTGTTGTTTGGGCAACCCCACTGGGTGTGATGGGCGTTGGCGTCACAGCCTATTACCAAACCTGTCTTTAGCTCTTCGCATTCCTTTGCCAGTCCTCTGACTTTTCGAAGGCCATGTAGGCCGATAGCAGCCTAATGTTATCTCCGTTGCTGTAATTGCGAAGCAGAAATATATTTAGGTGCCTTTTGGCCAAAATGCATGTTCGAATTTTATCTTCTTTGGGGTTAAGCATTAGCTTATACTCTCTCGTTCTAGTCCAGCAACCTTTCCTCCTACTACACAAGGTTCCTGTACTAGGACCAAGTCGGCTTCGCCCTTGGCCAGGCGAAGCGATAGAGCAGCGGACGCTGCTTTACTGTGGTGTAGGTTTATCTGCAGGAGTCTTAGCGACATCCCCAGTTGTAACCTCGACCTCAGTAACGTTGTCCTCCGAGTCGCTCAGGTCCACCTCGTAAATTGCCGGTCCCAACGCTCCCATTTCCCTGCTAAGCGAGAAATCGGTGGAATAGCCGTCCTTCGGCCCTCCAGGCGCCACCACTTCCTCGGCAAACACGTTTGAGTCAGCGCTTGAGTCGCCCTTATAGATTTTCATCTGTACTGCGCTAAAACCGAAGTTCAGTTTGCCCCGAGCCGCTTTTATTGACTCAACTGACTCCTTGTTCAGGACCATAACCGCCTGGTTAACGTCCCCTTCGTGTTCCTCTACCTTGACGACTCTCCAGTCCTTCGTGGGGATGGGAAGGGAAGGGACTAGGAACGTCGCAATAGTCAAGTGCGACAACATTCGACCCTCGTAGACCGCACCAAGCTTACTTGCCGCCTGCTTGTATAGGTCAGCCGACCGCTGACTATCGCAGGCTACCACTTTGACGCTGCCTTGGTACTGTGGCGACCAATCTGGCAACCCGAAGCAAACAGCTGAGGTCATAAAATAACTCTGGTCCGATATCAAAATTGGATGGATATCGATCTCTCTCTCTCTCTTGCGGCGCAACTAGCACATAGTACACACAATTGTTACTCAACAGATTAATATTAAAATAAAGTTAAGTTAAGAGTGAATCTCTACAGTACCATCCCGCGTCCATGCAGCAGTGCGGAGAGCATGGGTTTTCGCGGATTATGCGCAGGCATATGATGGACAGGTGGGACTCCACTGCTTTCCACTTATTCCTGGGGATCCGTCCTTCCGGGTTTCCCTTATCGATAAGACCGAGTAGGACTCGATCTTTGGTGATCTCCGCGAAGGAGACCGAGGGCTGGACCTTTGATCTCTTCGCCGAAGGTTTTTTGAGAGTTCCCGTCTCTTGTTTAGTTTTGTTTGTGGTTTTGTCCATAATAGACCCCACGAGTTGCGGAGAAGGGGAAAGGTCCGCCCGGGCAGAGATCCTCGATGCCCGGGTAGGGCGATAGTTAGAACAGGGGGCCATATCCCTGAGCTCCGTTGAAGACTGGGCTAGTTTTTGATCCGGGCCCCCAGCCAGGCTGACTCTTGGCACGGTCCGAATTACACCGTAGTCCGGCCCGGAGTGAGATGTTGTTTGGGAGAGGAGGAGAGTAGGTAGTGTATAGAGCAATTATTTAGATGTGGCTGAACAACTCGCTTCGTCGGTACTGCTCCGATGCAGAACACCGCGCTATAACTGGTTGGGAATTATAGCGTCGCCAGAGCGGTAAACTTCGAAAAGGGGATCATTCCGTTCAGAAAGTATAAATATAAAATAAAACAAGAAAGGAAGCTACCTTCGGCCAGCCGAAACTTATATACCCTTGCAGATAAATTAAATACCTATAGTTTAATGCTCACTCGGTGCAGTTCTAGGTATTCCAGATTCAGCGTGTTTATTTAAATTTTGTTTTTAAGTTGTCAAAAATCAAAGCGCCTACAAAGTTACAATGAATTTTCTTATATTTGTTTGAATATTCCTACGGGAGCCTTAAGATATAGTGGTCCGATCCGGCTCACTCCGACATGTGTACTACCTGCAATAGAAAGAAGACTTTCGGGAATGTTTCATCGCGATAGCTTTAAAACTGAGAGACTAGTTCGCATAGAAACGGACAGATGGACAGAAGGACAGACGGACGGACGGACAGATGGACATGGCTAAATAGACTCGGCTATTGGTGCTGATTAAGAATATATATACTCTATGTGGTCGGAAACGTCTCCTTTACTGCGTTGCAAACATCTGACTGAACTTATAATACCCTCTGCAAGGGTATAAATATACAAAAATGTAATCAGATTGTTCTAGCAAGAAATTAAATCATTATAAAACTAAGTAATTGTCCTTTATTTATCAAAATCTTTTATTTTTTAGTGCACTTCTGGGACAATAAAGATGGATTTAGCCCTGAAAACTATCCCCGCGCTCGATTTATTTCGGAATTTGGTTACGCCAGCCTTCCAATAATGTCCACGTGGCGACGGGCCATAGGTGATAATGCAAATGGTAGCAACCACGAAGTTGCAGCACTCATTCGAAGTCGTCAGCACGATCCCAAGGGGTTCATTCCGATGCTTCAATTAATTGCTTATCAACTACCGTTTGTTCCTCAGAATTGGGATGAAAACATTGAGAAGTTCATTTATTTTAGCCAGGTGGCTCAAGCCATGGCGACTAAAACGGGATTTGAAGTATTTCGTAGTCTACGAACCGGCAACCATACAATGGGTGCTCTTGTTTGGCAACTTAACGATGTATGGGTGGCTCCCACTTGGTCCTGCATTGACTTCTATGGTAACCTTAAAATGGTATACTACTGGGCCAAGGAATTCCTAGCCCCAACGAGCGTTATAGCGCTGTACGACAATAACTCCGATAGCCTCAACATCACGCTTACCAGGGAGGACTTCTCTGAACATAGGGACTCGCAGTTGTATTATGTTCTGGTCAACACGTATCTATGGACGGACTTGATTGCTAAAAAGACCATAGCCCGCGCTTTTGGACTAGTAAGAGATGCATAGGTATACATGTAGACTACTTTCATTCGCAACACTTAACAAAATTTACAGGGTTCCAATGACCTCGAAGTGCGCCAAATACCTCTACAATATTTGCTGTATGAAAACTATTCTAAGAAGGAAATATTTTGGGAAATAGTTTTGGAGGACGAATATGGCGACTTAGTCGCTAGAACCTATTTTTACCCGGTACCTATAAAAGATATTGTGGGCATTAAAGATCCAGATTTAACGGTAAGTAGCGATACAAAAACAAGTTTTTCAAAAAATAATTAATTATTACGTTTATCGAACAGCTAGAGGTTGCAGGCCAAGACTGCAGAACAGCAACATCACCGTATGCTAATAGTTTCAGCCTGCGCATCACCGTGAAATCCCCGGCTCTACTTGTATACCTCGAGCTATCGCACCCAGCTTATATTAAGGAGCGGCACAAATTCTCGACAAACGGCTTTACTCAGACACAGCCGAAAAAAACTGTACACTTAACGTTTGAAAACGACTCGGAATGTTTGATGTTAAATACCAGTCACATACGGGTTCAAACAATGAATCAATATTTATTATGATTTACACCAGCGGTCGGCAGCGCCCTATTAAGTGAGCATAGGGTTTTGTTCTGCCGGCGTGCTGCTTGCACATGTATAACGTAGAACAGCGGTCTACACACACACATCGATGAGCTGCCCAGTGAAAATTACTCACACAAATATAAAACAAAATGTCAACGTATGTGTGTGTTGACCGCTGATTTACACATATATTTTCTTAAATATATATTTATTTTAAAAAATATAAAATCCAAAATAAAAATGCATATAGAGCATAAAGCAATACCGTCTCCCCGTCCGCCTGTTTTAAAATATCTCCCATAGAATCGATGGTATTGAAAAGGTGTACATTTTATTTATTTGTTTTTTTTTATATTTATACCAGGTTCTCGTAGAGTAAAAGGGTATATTACATTCGTGCAAAAGTATGGAACAGGAAGAAGGAAGCGTTTCCGACCCTATAAAATATATTTATTTTTGATCAGGATTACTAGCAGAGTCTCGGAAACTACAAAATTTGTAGTAATTGTATTTTTTAATATTTGATTCCATTTTGCTCGTTGCTCATCGCTCCAAGTAGTACCGTATGGAAATAGTCTTAAATACCAACAAAAATACAAGTGCACATCGGTTTTTACAACTTTGCTTATTGATTGCTCATTGCAGCCGACATATATCTGTCTTGCTCGCACCAACGTAAAATCGCATAGGCTAAGAAAAAATTGCTCCAATGAATAAGCCGAACAATGTAGTGGAATAACCACATTATGCGAGGTGGTGGTACACACAAAAATAAGTACGTCGCCGTAAAATCGATTTGTCCAGGTAAATTACAGGTAATTCAGACTCATATCGTTTTTACCTGAAATATTCATACAATTAATCTTAAATAATATCATTTTGCCGAATTCTCTCTCTCTCTCTAACTTCGAAAAAGAGCGCAAGAAGCAATATGGCGAGCAAAATTACGTGAGTGGAAGCAAGAAGACGGATTTGAAATTCGAACTTTAAGCATGTTGTCTCGCTTGCACTACTATAGTAGGTAAGTAAAGCGTAAACAAGACGCTGCCGTATACAACGTTTTAAGTGCCGTTTTCATATAAAAACGTTGTAAAAATAAAAATGAAAACGTTTTAAAAATGCAAAGTACCCCATAAAGTATATACATTCTTGATCAGCATCTCTAGCCATGCCCGTCTGTCCGTCGGTCCGTCTGTTTCTACGCAAACTAGTCTCTCAGTATTTGCGGTGTGAAGTTAGCAGGGTCTCACGTAACAAATTTAAAACGGCATTTAACTGCAAAACATGCGGAAGTATTTAATGAATTCGAGACCAACGACGACAAAGTTCAGCAAAATATGAAAAAAATAAAAATTTCATATGAAACCAGTGAAGCATCAATCGTTTCTTCGATTATAAAGATTGTGACCACCGATGGAAAGCCTATTTTATTTCTGGACAGCGAAGGGTTTCGACAGATATTAAACCCAATTTATAACGCGCTTTTGATGAATCCCATAACTTCTCGGAATGTTATGGAATATGTGACTTTAAAAGAGCAGTACATTAAAGAAAATATAAAAGCGCTTGTGAAGGGAAAGCTTGTATCACTAAAAATAGATGTTGCCGCAAGAATGGATAAGGCTATTTTGGGGGTGAATTTACAAATGATACAATCTAGTATGTCTAAAGCTGAGATCGTCATCAAGACTTTAGGCATGATACAGCTTCGCCATTCGCACACTGGAATGTACATTAAGGAAAAAGTTATGGAGATCATAAAATTCAACCTGAGCAGACGTTGGTTGAACGAGGGCAAAAAAAACGTACCATGTCTCGATGTTATTACGAGATGGAACTCAACATATTTAATGGTACTAAAATTGTTAGATTTAAAAGAGTTCCTTGCTGAACACCCTAGCATTAGTATTGATGCCGACTGGGATTGGATGGAGATATACAGTGGCTCACAGCTTATTTCAACCAGTCTACACCAAAAACTTTAACAGCCCATAAAAACTAAACAAAACATGTTATCAAAATAATTTGAGCGCAGAATACATCTATGAGGATACACATTAGTGTATAATTATTTTATGATTTTTTAAATATTTTACAAATATTTTTTATGAATTAATTACAAAAAAAGCCCAAAAAAAAAGGCCACAGCTTATTTCAACCAGTTAACAAAAAAATCGAATAAATTAACATAGTGGCCAAAACCTATTTTTTTTTAATTTGGCATGACTACCCTTTTGTTTACCAACAATTTAAAGTTAACTTTATATGGAAACAATGCCTTTTGTTGTTGTTGCCAAGTAAAAACTACTCCCGACCCTTGGGAAGGACTTTTGGCATAGTTTCGTCTAAAAATATTGTGTTTTCTAACATTTTTTCGTTAAGTGGACTTCCAATATTGTTTTGTGGTAATGTTAAGACACATTTAATTCATAATCATTAGCTTTCGACAGCTCTGGATGAGCTGAATCTGCGAAAAAATATGCACTTCCCATGGGTAATTTCTTTAGTTAAATCAAAAATTAATTTATATTTCAAAATCCTTTCAGTTTTTAATTCATTTATCCTTTTGAATGTGAAGATGAACTCAAATCTTAATCGCGGAGTAAAAAAAAAAAATTATGGAAGGACCTGTTTGACACTTATAGGCCCAAAACAATTAGCGTTCGCCGCTAGGCTTAGGGCTCATTTGGATACACACGAGAAACTCACTTAATAGCAGTGTTGGGAAAGGTACTGTGTTTTTTTACCTAGGTAAGGTAAAAGGTATTGTCAAAAATAAATACCTAGGTAAGGTAAAGGTACTTAAATTTCCCAGTACCTAGGTAAAGGTAAAAGGTATTTATAAGGTATTTTTTATTTTTTATAATTTTTTTGTTTTGTTCAATGTAATCATTTAAACTTAAAATAAGACTAGTTTTCAGTTTGTAGTCGTCTTAATCAAACAATATCTTTTCATTTCATTTAAATTTAAATGTTTTAATTTTGTGCATATATTTTTAAACCACGCGGCATGAATAATTTTATGCACGTATCACTTCATTAATGTATTTATGAAACCCTCATGTACAGTGGCGGACAAAAGTCTACGGACGACCCCCTTTTTGGGAGTTCTTCCACTCCTATTGCTTTTACGGGAAAAGTAATGATGCAGTTTTGTTCTTAATGTTATTAATATACAAAAACCAAAATTTTATTCTTATTCATAAAAAACTTTAAAAGTTACAGACGAAAATCTTAAAAATGGCATTGAAAAAGTCTACGGACGATTTTTTTACATAGAACTTTCAAAATTTTCGCTCCAAAATTACCCAAACCTGCTCTATAATTTGTATGCCCAGGCCTTATGGTGGTGAAAACAATTGCCGAAAAGCATAAAACAGCAGCTATTTCTTAAGGATATGCGTCGTATGCTTAGGATCATTATCCTGTTGGTAGATCGGGATGGTTCCGAGGCATTATTTGTCCACAGATGCCTTCAAATTATGTTCAAATATGGTCTTATACTGAGAACGAACCATAATACCCTCGACGATGACCAAATTTCCTACTCCCGAGGCTTCAACTGTTCCCCACACCACGTCACTCCCACCGAAGTGCTTTACGGTCCAAATTAGTACTGTGGTGGGAGTATGGTAGAGAAGTCTTGGTGTGGGGATCAGTTGAAGCTTCGGGAGTAGGAAATTTGGTCATCGTCGAGGGTATTATGGTTCGTTCTCAGTATACGACCATATTTGAACATAATTTGAAGGCATCTGTGGACAAATAATGCCTCGGAACCATCCCGATCTACCAACAGGATAATGATCCTAAGCATACGACGCATATCCTTAAGAAATAGCTGCTGTTTTATGCTTTTCGGCAATTGTTTTCACCACCATAAGGCCTGGGCATACAAATTATAGAGCAGGTTTGGGTAATTTTGGAGCGAAAATTTTGAAAGTTCTATGTAAAAAATCGTCCGTAGACTTTTGTCAATGCCATTTTTAAGATTTTCGTCTGTAACTTTTAAAGTTTTTTATGAATAAGAATAAAATTTTGGTTTTTGTATATTAATAACATTAAGAACAAAACTGCATCATTACTTTTCCCGTAAAAGCAATAGGAGTGGGTGAACTCCCAAAAAGGGGGTCGTCCGTAGACTTTTGTCCGCCACTGTACATATTTGGCGCGCAAAAATTCCGTATGTAGAAACATTGACTATATATTGTGCATATGCATGTATATGCCGTTTGTTTACGTACATACGGCATTTTTGCGCGCCAAATACACTTTGGTTTCATAAATAAATTGATGTAGTGATGGGAACATACATACGTGCACAAAATTATATAAAAAAAAACTGCGATTAGTTTTAACTTCACAAAACAAACAATAGAACGGCTGAATTATTAATGCTGCGTTCCGACTATTACAATTCTGAAACGAAACGATACAATGAAACGATACTACAGTGTCGCAGTCAGATTTGGCTATTTTAAATCAGAGCAATGTTTAATACCTATGTAAGTACCTTAATAATTCCAAAGGTATATAAAAATAAATACCTAGGTAAGGTAAAAGGTACTCAATTATTTGTATACCTAGGTAAGGTAAAAGGTACCACTAAATTGTACCTAGGTACGTACCTAGGTAAAAGTATCTAGGTATGTCCCAACACTGCTTAATAGTGTCCTTAGTATGTTTGAAAAAATGTATTTGAAAGAAATACTTGAATTTTGATACATTTGAGTCGGAAAAATATATCTAAGCGGAGAAAATCCCAATGACGAGCCTAAATTGGAAAGTCAAATTGCTATTTTAAAGTCTAACGGCGAACGCTAATTGTTTTGGGCCTATAAGTGTCAAACAGGTCCTTCCATAATTTTTTTTTTTTACTCCGCGATTAAGATTTGAGTTCATCTTCACATTCAAAAGGATAAATGAATTAAAAACTGAAAGGATTTTGAAATATAAATTAATTTTTGATTTAACTAAAGAAATTACCCATGGGAAGTGCATATTTTTTCGCA